TTCCTCATAATTCTCTTCCTTTCCCTCAAGTCTCTCTCCCTCCCTCTTTCTAGACTTTTCTTTTTCTCTTTCGGGTTTCAATCTTTGAATCTAGATCTCTCTTTCACTACTTGGAATTTTTGAGTGCCGTTTGCAGCAAAACGGAGACCACGGCGAGCTCTAAGCGTGTTTACAAGAAACTTCTGTTTTGGTGCTCCCTAGGATTTTTGAAAATCTTGACCCATTTTGAGGGTTTTGCACAATTTTGAGGTACGGGTTCTTAATCCATGTTTTTCTTGTTCCCTTATGAATTATATCTCATAAATTATTGTAAAGCATGTTTGTTTTAGAATTATTTGTCTTGAAGATGATGTAAATGTTATATGTGAAGTTTATGATCATATATGCCATTTGGATTGTACAACAACATGTTTATGTGTTAATCTCTTTATCTAATTGTTGATCTTACATGCCTATTATGTTATAAAACTTGCTAGAGATGGTATGTGACGGCATGTGAACTCTTCCTAGAATGCTTGAAGAGAATGTTCAATTGTGTAGTATAAAATTCCTTATCTCCATGGCATTGTGGACATGAGACATACATGCATACTATAGGGCATGAAAATGGGGGAAATCGTTTTGAAATGAAAAAGGAGAATTTTGGGGAAGTGTTTTGATGAAATGGTTTTATGAAAACCTGGTCGCCGCGGAGTCACTAAAGGGCCGGTAGGTTAATGTAACCTAGAGAGAACTAGGGAGATTGCCCTAGTGTGGTTGAGCTATCTGGACCCCATAATGACGCTACGGAGGTACCAACAGTCAGGGACAGTAGCCAATCCTTCTCTCGGCCCTGAGGGGGTACCAAAGGGGGTTACATTAATAGTTTGAAAGTGATGGATTTTGAATGAGAAAATGGAGAGTGACATCGGCATGCATTTCATTCCCATTGCATTATGTTACTTATGTTGAGATTGATTATTCTATTATGGTTTCCCTACATAGCTTGATCCCTATTCCCATTGCTTTATTCTTTGTTTGGATTCATGGGGACACAAGATGTGTGTCTTGGGTGTCACATACTGAGCGTATTGCTCACCCCATTATATTTAACATTTTTCAGGACATGACAAGGGATTAGCAGATGATAATCCACCACAGACTTAATAGATCTTGGAGGCAAATTTTGAGAGCATTTTGTAAAGACTTGACTTATTTTGTGCAGCACATGATATGCAATGTACCAACTTTATTTGGCATGAAAATTGTGTTATAATTTGAAGCTTAAAACCATCTTGATGTAAATTAAGACAATGGTAAAGACTATGTATAAACTCCATGTAATTAAATCAAATGATGTTGTAATGGGATCAAGGATTGGTATGTTTGACCATGATTAAAGTATGATTCATTTTCTAAATGTTTGAGACAAGTTTTGATCATTTTAAAGTCCCTATTCTAGTTCCTCTTTAGACCTTCAAGTGTAGCCTCTCAGTATCAGGTTCCAGGCTCGGCAGAGTCATTTTGGTAGATCGAAATGGCACTTCGGTCGACCGATACTCCTGCATGCTCTTGGGATCTTTAGTTTCGACCGACCGAAATAGCAGTTCGGTCGACCGAAACAGGGAGCTCATTTCGGCCGACCGAAGCTCCACTTCGGTCGACCAAAATGAGGTTGCTTGGCCATTCTTCATCCTTTCTTCTGGCATTTATTATGTAGATCACTGGGATGTGTTTGAGACTTCCTAAAGCTATAATTCAAGTGTAAAGGTGACGTTTGACTTTAGAAATAATGAGTCTGACCTAGGTGACCTCGGGTTTGGGTAAGGACTCGGCTAACGGTTCGGGCCTCCGGGTCAGGGACATGAAACATGTGAGTTGTAACCAAGTTGTACCAACAAAGATGGTTTAACACCAATTCTTTACATTAGATCATTCTTGGACATGAAGTAACTGTGTCAATTAGGAGTAATATTCTACACTTTCATTTAGTGTGATTAATTGAGGACAATAACATATAGTCCTACCTTTCTATCCTCTTAGATTTGAATTCTCTCCAACAGTTCATTTCTAAAGACTAGTTCTTTAATAGCAAAAAAAATGGTTAAATGAGATCGAGATGAAGTGAGACTGTGACGTTTCCGATTTTCTGCATTTTTCATTTTTTTGGTAATTCGTTGGTGCAAGGGTGTTTTCGTCATTTCACATTTTTCGTATGGGATTTTAGTTGGGTCCGTTTGCATCATAAATATTTTGGTGTAATGTGTTATTTATGGTTGTGATTTAGTATGTGCATGTAGGTATATTATGTGGTGTAAATGAAAAGAAAAGAAAAAGAGAAAATAAATTAAAATTCATGGTGGGGCCCATAACCACTTTTAAGTGGTATAAAGACCACTTTGGTCTCTTATTCTTTTCCCCTTTCCCGCAAGTCTCTCCCTCATCTCTTTCCTTAGTAATTTTTCTTCCATTCTCACAAGCAAACTTCAAGCTTTGATTCCAACTTCAATACTTGGAATTTTTAAGTGCCGTTTGAGGCAAAACGGAGAGCACGACGAGCTCTACGCGTGAGTACTAACAATTTCAGCTTTGGGCCTCTATAGGATTTTCAAAATTTGGAAACCATTTTGAGGGTTTTGCACAAACTTGAGGTAGGGGCTTCCTAATCCGTATACTCTTGTACTTTTGTGAGTCAAATTACTTGAATTATGACTTAACATGTTTATTTGTGTTAATTGTAGTTTAAAATGATTTAATTGTGTATATGTGATTATGTGAGGACATGTATAAAATGTATTATGTGGAAAACATGCTTATATGATGAATTTCTATGCGTATTATGTTATTTATATGCTATGAATGATGGATGAAGGCATGCTTCGTTGTGTTATGTGAAAATTCCTTATTGTTAAAGCATTAAAAGTATGAGACATGCATGTACGTCATTGTGTTTCATGTTGGGTACTGTTTTGGATAAAGTAAAAAGGGGATTTTTGGGAGAAAATTGTTTTGAATCGGTTTTGAGAAAACTCGGTCATCGCGGGGGTACCAAAGGGCCGGAGTGTTAATATAGCCTAGAGGGAACTAGGGAGTCACTCTAGCGTGATTGAGCTAGCTGGGCCTCATAATGATGCCGCGAGGGTACCAAGGGTCAGGGACATTAGCCAATCCTTCTCTCGTGTCGCTGCGGGGGCACCAATGGGCGGGTTATATTAACAGTTTGAAAGTGATGATTTTAAATGTGAAAAATGGGGAGCGACATCAGCATGCATTGCATTCCTATTGCATCATATTATTTATGTTGAGATTGGAAACCATGTTGTAATTTCCCGACATTGTATGACCCCGATTTCCATGGTTCTATTCTTTGTTTTGGATTCACGGGGACTCAAGAGGTGCGTCTTAGGCGCCACTTACTGAGCAAATTGCTCACCCCAGCATATTTAAATTTTTTTTAGGTCACGGCAAGGAGTTGGCGGATGACAATCCACCTTGTGCTTGAGAGCACTTAAGAAGCATTTTGGATGTATTTTTGTAGAGCTTGAACTTATTTTGTAAAGATGTTGACTTAGAATGTATTACTTTTGCAACATGTAAAATATTTAGATTTTTAGCATGTACATGGCCAGTGGGGTAATGTAATTAAGTTTTACCATCATTTAATCCTTTAGTGTATTTTGGTAACGTGTGGTAAATTATGTTAACGTTGTAGTTGTTGTTATTGTGGATGTTGAAATATATTTACATATGTACGTGAGTGTAGTGGTGTGGGTGATTGGCTTTCAAAGTTGGTGTATCTTGGTGACAGTGAGTGAGGATGACCCAAACCAGTCGACGTAAAATCCTATACGTTGACCGAGTTGCGTGAGCCAGTTGATGTGTAGCTTCCCACACGTCGACCTGTATCCTGACAATAAGCTTTTCACTGTACACGTTCCAAACCAGTCGATGTGTAGCTTCCCACATGTCGATCGGTATCTCGGCAGTGGGATTTTCTATTGTTCATAATCCAAACCAACTGACGTATAATGCATATACGTCGACCGGTTCTTATCCCATAAACATTCTTCTTTTAATTTTCCAAATTACACTTTGGCACCCAATTGTTATGTGAGTATTTACCTTATGGCCCAATCAAAGTACAATAAATATTTTTTGACCACCGAATAGACTATATTGTCCCGGACCTTATTTTATTTATTGCGTGATGCAAGTAAATGACTAATATGCCCTTCAGTCTCAAATTATTGAATTATAGCAAATTACCATCTTACCCCTTTTGGACCTTGATAATTGAATTTAACGTGAAAGGACCGTATTAACCTTGGAGGATTCTGGGTCGGGTAGGGACCCGTTTAATGATCCCGATCGATGAGGATTTGGGTCGTTACAGAAACCCATTAAATTGTAGTATTCTAGTTTGGTAACCAATGCAAGCCATTTTTATTCCAATAAGTTTCCAAACTGCATGATAGATAAGCTTCCGAACCACAACGAAGACATTATTGTAAATTCTGAGTCCCCAAGGACAGAACTTTATTTTCTAAGTTTGCAGCTTGGGGACTTGATCAACAAAATACAAAGGAATCACAAGAGTGATCTTCTTCTTAGAATACAATCCACAAAATGAAAGGAAAAATAATTAAAAACAAAGCTAGGGAATGTCCTAGAAATTGTAAAACTTCCATAGAAGTACTTACTTAAAATGAAAATGGCAAGAACAGTATTTGAATTTTCTAGGGAAGGACCAGATCATTTTAGGTGTTTCAAATCTAAAATTAGTTCTAGATCAGCCTTTTATGGGATCATTTTGTCTTGTTCTTGGATCATGCTTGTTTAAGAAGATGTAACCACAACATTTGACCACCTTCATAAACAGAAGTATCAGAACAAAGATGATCACAACTACTCAAGCTGTAAAAAAGTGCATAATTATACCTTTAGGTACAGCAAAATCATAACCAAGTTCTTAGTATGCAGCATTCCTCACAAATAATTGATCATCTCCCACCACTGTCCATCTAAAATATAACTTCGTTCTTCACACTGTCAAACACAGTTGATGCAGAGTTGCTGTAGAAGTCCAATGGTTCGAAGAGCAAGGGCTCCCCCTCTTCTATGTGTGATCCAATTTGATCAGGACGCGAGTGCTTCTCAAAATTTCTCAAGGCCTCGAGCTCCTCTTTTACTTCTTTCATACTTGGCCTTCGATCCCCCTTCAATTCTAAGCATTTTTTTGCAACCTCAGCAACTCCTTTGAGCTGTTCAACATCTCCCACTCTTTTTACTTGATCCTCGAGAATTTGAAACAAAAGATCCTCTTCCATTGAAGAAACAAAATACGCAGCTAAACTCCTATTTTTTTCGAGTCTTTCAAAAGAAACTACCATCTCGCCTGATAATAGTTCTACAAGAACAACTCCGAAGCTATAAACATCGCTCTTTTCTGTTAAGTTACCTGAATGGAAGTACTCAGGGTTTATGTACCCAAAAGTCCCTTGCACCAGTGTGGTTAAATGTGTTTTGCTAGAAGGCACAAACTTTGAAATTCCAAAGTCAGACACTTCCGCTGTGTAGTCATCATTCAAGAGAATGTTGGTAGACTTGATATCTCTATGAATGATTTGAGTGGTAGAGTGGATATGTGCTAGAGCTTCTGCAGTTTCTGTGGCGATCCTTAGACGACTCTCCCATGGGATTGACGACACACGAGCTTCATTGTGTAGGTGGTGGAAGAGTGCATTGTTATTGATAAATTCGTAAACTAGTAGAGGAACGGATGTCTCTAAGCAACTACCCAAGAGCTTTACTACATTTGGATGGTCAATTTGGCATAGCATTTTCACCTCAGTGACAAATTGATTAATTTGGTCTCGGTCTACCAATTTGGACTTCTTGATGGCAACCACTCTGTTATCTGCCAAAGTTCCTTTGTACACACTGCCAAAACCACCTTGGCCAATAACACACATCTCATTAAAGTTTTTTGTTGCCTTCTTGAGCTCTGCTTCAGTAAATATTTTTGCTACTTGATCAGAATTTTCACCTTTGGAAAGTAGTTCTTGCAACATTACACCACCATTTTGCTTAAAGCAATCTTCTCTGACCTTGGCGTTTTTCCTTTTTTGCTTCACCCAGTACACAAAAGCAACAATGGCAGATAAAAATAATAGGCTAGTAGTGATACCTGCATATTGAGTCACAAATTTAATTATCTCCCAGATCAATGAGTTTACGGTAACAACTTGGCGTGCAAGTGTGTGAATGCGTATTTATGGCCAATTTATAGGTGTTAGAACCAATCATAGTCTTTCTGAAGTTCTTGTTGAAGAATGTAGTTAAAAGAATAATATGCAGTACATTAAATAGAAAATCTAAGGAACTTAATGGATGACCTGATCAGTAACCAAGTCTACCAACTAAAATGCTCAAGAAACCCCTACATAATATGCAATAACTCAATAGAAAATCCCAAGGAAATGAAATGCCGGATTAATAATCAAGTAGCAACCAAGATGGTTAAGAAATAATATGTCATATATCAAATAGAATAAGGAATTAAATTAAAATGATCCACCCTCACTTTCCAACTCTCACCGAAGAGACTGTTTACTACTGGGAAAAAAGACGTCTTTTTAACATTTCATAGTTCAAAACGAAAGGATTATATTTCTTGCATATCTGGCCTACAACTTTCTGATAATATTTCTAGTGGATAGAAAACGTTTTCAAGAAAAAAAAACAACAAATCATAGTTGATACATTGGTGGTAGTGCAGATAATCATATTATTGTTGAACAACGGAAAAAAAAAAAAAAAAAAAAAAAAAAAAAAAAAAAAAAAATCATAGTTGAGAAGAATCAAAAAAAAAAAAAAAAAAACATCATTGTGTTTTTTTGAAAGGTAAAAATAAAAAACATCATTGTTGAACAACAAATGACCATGCTATTTTGCTAATTTTCAATACAGAGGGGAATTATTATGGTATATTCATAAGGAGTTGAAATGGAGGATTGGGACTATAAGGGCATTCAAATTGGATCCTCCTAGTTTCTCCACATGAGAGATTTTTTACTTGAAAGTTTCGCAACAGTAATAATCAGAAGACCCACAATGACCTTAGTCCATATTTGATCAGAAATGCAACCAAGTCCATCTTTTCTGCCATCACCATGATACCACTTTGGGCAAGAACAAATAAAATTCCCATCTGTGTTGTGACATATATAGGTGCACTGATTGAGTCCAGGAGTGGAGCACTCATCAATATCTGCAGACAATTTGTAACAAGAGTAATGCTACTAATGCTGACAAAATATACCGGTTAAACAATACCAACGAAAAGTGACCAATACACATATCCATGTGGGTTGCAGATCATATATCATTTCATCATTATCTATTTGCATTTCACTAGTATATGAAAGTTATTAGACGATATCTACCTTTGCAACCATTTGGAAGATAGGGGTTCCCCTGATAACCTTGAGAACAATTGCAGCGATATCCAGGACCATTATCAGAGTCATAGCATGAAGTATTGTTCCCGCACGCGTAGGTGCTTACTTCCTTTCTGGCTTCTTGACATGTCCTGTTACCAACCGCCCAATCAAGCACAACAGGCAACTTCTCGGTGTTGATTAAATTGTAAAGATCTTCTGAGGCGAAGGTATAAATCCCATCCTCAACAACAAAAGCGTAGCTGTAAGGATTGAAGTTCCAAATCTCTGAATGGTTGTAATAGCTTTTCACTAGCAATTCAAACTCTGTCACTCCTTTTGGAATCAATGTTTGGCAACAACCAATGCCAGAGCACGAACCATTCACAACATCACTAATGTTGCCACACAAGGACGTGCAGCCGGTTGCATATTTGCATCCTACAGAACCTTGTACAAATGCGTGAGTGTCACAACCTACAGCTGTGAACTTGCTTCTGGTGTATGAGACAGGCCAGGGAATTGGTAAACACTAAGCCATGGATCAAAGTGCCTTTCAAGTGCACCTGATTCATTGAAACAATCGAATCCTATCCAGCTCGGGACTCTCAACTCGCCATCCAGTGATATGTTCAGGACATCTATGTTGTCTTTTCTTAAATATGGTTTGGAGTCATTACATGTTATGGAAGGACTCATCAAGGTAACAACTTTCGCTTGTGCCGAATGGGTATGGAATGGTCAGGTTGCTGCAGGTTTCTGGGCAGCCGGGCTTTGCTTGAGATGCTACAACAACCACCACCACCACCACCACCACCACCACCACCAGCAACAGTTGTATCAGCCTTTTGTTAATACCCATTGCTTATCTCTTCAGTTGAAGCTATTCTTTGTAGAACACTATCTTCCTCTAGTATAATGTGTTTCCACAATTCTTTCTGAACATGTTATTAATTCATCTAGAATATATTAGATGAAATTAAACCTTAACTAGAGTTTAAAACGTCATTGGTACGCAATTTCTTGGTGCCGGCATTAATATTGACATATAGGACAACAGTAACAAGCATCATTGTCACGACCCAAAAATTTCAATAAAATCCCCTATTTATTCAAGTCCAAATATATCAAAATACACCCAGGATTACAAAAAAAAACTCTCTTTTATACAAAGTCAATTTCATCAAAAATATAGAAAAATTCTCCAAATAAATAAATAAAATCCTGCAACGCCGACTTTTCAACCTAAGCCCAAATCTAGCAATCCCTGTTCATCTTCGGTACCTGAAACTAGAGGGTGGTGAGACAAAAGTCTCAGTAGGAAATACCATAACATTAATTTCATGGAGATTTAACAAAACAGCTTTACAAAACAAACATATACATGTGAGTATAAACAAAACAAATATGCATTTAATCAAAACATTTAATAAAACATTTAATCAAAACCTCCCCATGCCATTCAAGGTATAGAAAACACTACACTGAAAAAGAATAATTTCCTCATTGGATCATCAACTCTTCAAGCTCTAAGACTTCCCCTGCAACTCTCGGCTCTCAACTCACTTTGTCTTTCCTCAAAACTCTCTGTCTCTCTCTTTGCTCACTCTATATTTCTCGGCTCGCTCTCTCTGTATCACTCTAATTTTTCTTCTGTTTTTGCATAAGACCAAGTCACAAATTTAAAGGCAACTGCACCGACACAAACCACGTTTAGCTCAAAACCCACATGCATAAAGTAGCCAAAGTAAAAAAAAAAATGGTCTGCCAAAACTTATCATTTCAATACCAACTATCAGCCACCTAAAAGGCAAAGCCACGTGAAGAAATCAGAACAAAAGAAATTTTACCAGACAAAAATCCTTGTGAGCCCCACCAAAAATCATTACTTTATCCCTTTCTCACACTCAAATCGGCTGGCAGCCCCTTCTTGCTTCAACAGACAATATATATATTTATAAGGTAACAAAACCAAACAAAACCTTTCAAAGTTTGTGGGACCCGCTGTAATGTCTGTGTTATGTATATATATATATATATGTAATTGTGTGTGTGTGGTGTGAATTTAAAGGCAAAAGAAAAAGAGAAAAAAAAAAATTCAAAAGTGGGTGGGACCCACAACTTGTTTAAGTATTATGAGACCACATTTGGTCTCTGTTTTCCCATCCTTTCTCTCTCCTGTCTTTGTCTTCCTCTTGGGTTTCTTTTTTTTTTTTTTTTTTTTTTTTTTTGTTTTTCACTTCAAGCTTTCATTGTTGATTTCTCCCTCATTTCTTAGTGTTTTTAAGTGTCGTTTGCGGCAAAACGGAGAGCACGACGAGCTCTACACGTGTGTACCAGCAATTTCAGATTTAAGCAACCTAGGGAGTCCAAAAATCTTGACCCATTTTGAGGGTTTGAGGTGAAAATTGGGACTTTTGGCTTAAATTGAGGTAGGGGTGTTTAATCCACAATCTCTTAGATTTTGGTGAATTATTTTTTATAATTTGTCTTTAATTTGTGTTCTAAATTGTGTTATTTTTCATATTTGTTATGTGTTGTGTATGAGATGTGTATATATACATGTTAGTTGTTATGTGATAAAGAACCATGTAAAATTGATGTTAAATTTCATGCCTATTGTACTTTAAAATGCTGAATTTTATGATTTTGAAGCATGATATAAATTCCTAGAATATTCCTATGAGGCATGTATATTGTAAATATTTGACTTGAAAGAAATAAAAATTTCTTTATTGGTACGAAATTGAAATGCATAAGACATATATGCATTCATTGGGATAGAATGGAAAAAATTAATTTGAAAGAAAGGAAATGAATTTTGGGAAAGAATTTTGAAAAGGGCTTTTGTGAAAAACCTAGCTCCCTAGGAGTTGCTTAGGGACCGCGGCGTTAGTGAGGCCTGGAGGGGACTAGGGAAACCGCTCTAGTGTGGTTGAGTTACCTGGGCCTAAATGACGCCATGGAGTTGCCATGGGTCAGGGACAGTGGCCAATCATCCTCTCGTGCTACCATGGAGTTGCCATGGGACGGGTTCACTAACGGTTTGGAAATGATAATGGAAATGGTTTTGGAAAAATGGGGAGTGACATTGCATGTCACGACATTTTAGTGCATGGCATATTTATTTATGGTGTTGGATTAATGATGTGGTATCGTAGTTATACTTTTACTCCTGGCATGGTATGATTCCAATTTCCTTATTCCTATTCATTGTGTAGATTCACGGGGTCTCAAGAGGTGTGCCTTGGGTACTACTGTCACGACCCCAAATTTTCTAATAAAATCTCCGATTTATTCAATTCAAATATATCAAAATACACCCAGGATCATAAAAAAAAAAATACCCTCTTTTATACAAAGTCAAATTCCTCAAATATATATATAAAAAAATCTCTAATAAAATAAATAAAATCCTGCAACACCAACTCTTCAGCCTAAGCCCGAATCTAGCGATCCCTGTTCATCTTCGGTACCTGAAACTGGAGGGTGGTAAGACTGAAAGTCCCAGTAGGAAAAACTATAATAAGAATTTCATGGAGGTTTAACAAAAATAGCTTCACAAAATAAACATATACAGGTGAGTATAAACAAAATAAATATGCATTTAATCAAAACATTTAATAAAAATCATTGAAGCAAAACCACTCCAAGCCATTCAAGGTATAGAAAACCCTAAACTGAAAAGAGATTTCCTCACTAAATCTCCAAGCTTTAAGCTCCCAAACTCCTCTGCAGACTCTCGGACCTCTGTCCTCAAACTTTCTCTTTTTCACTATAATTTTTCTTCTCTTTTTTTGCATACACACCAAGTCACAAGCACCCAATTTATAAACAAATTGTTCCAACATAATTCACATTGCACCATACCATTATTAAATCAAATGGCGAAAGTCAATAGATATCATCACAGTGAACCCCACCGACCCATCCTTATTTTTCTTAGCCGTCCACGTTGCTTCCTTATCTTCTCATTTCTTACACAAAAAGTACAATCTCACCTAAAATAACACCACATGTAGCCCAAAAAAATAGAACCCTTGACCACTAATTTCTACCCGTGGGTCCCACCCCACTTTCTTTTCCTCTTTTCTCATCATATCACCTACTCATCCTCCTTTCTTTTCTTTTAGCCGACCAACCCATTCACCAACTCCATCAGATTATATATATATATATATATATAATATGTACTATATAAAATATGTACTCTTAAATATTAAATATCTTTCATGTGGGTTCACCAAAACACCACTTTTCACCCTTTTAATTCCAAGGTCGCTGCTCTTTTTACTTCAACCTTTATGCATTAAATATATATATATATATATATATATATATATATATAATGCAATAAATCTAAATTCACTAAATTGAACATGAATCAGTCTCCAATAAAAATTAAATACTCAATCTTGACTAAAAATCTTGAAATAAATATAAAATTAAAATCCTAAAAATCCGAGTCATCACAACTACCTACTGAGCAATTTTGGTCACCCCTATTATTTAACAATTTTCAGGGCTTGGAAAAGAAGTGGCGGATGACAATCCCCCGCAAGCTTGAAGAAGATTAGGGGTTATATTTTGTTATCTTTTGTATCTTAGCCCATTTTTTTTGTATTGTCTTAAACTATGTAAAAGAGTATTTATTTTTACAAATCATGGCTCTGTAACATAACTAAGATACTTGATTATTTTTGTTGTAAACTGAGACCATGTAACTGCTTAAGTTGAAGGGGATGATGATGATGGACTAATTTGGGAAGGTTGTTGATGTTGTGGTATTGGGGAATGCATTATATTTCTTTTGTATTGTGTGTTGGGGCAGGTTGGATAGGTCTTGAAAGACCGTTATTTTTTTTATTTGAACGGGTTGTTGTAGGACCATTTTTAGCAGAGGTCATGCCGAATTTTTTTTTAAATTTTTTTTATTATTTTCGGTATTCAGTTTAGGGTTGTTACAAATTTGGTATCAGAGCGAAGGTTCGAAAACCATTAGGACAACGGGTAAAGACCTACCTAGGGTTGTCTGGGAAGTCATTAGCATTGTTATTTCCTTATTGTCAAAAGTGTTTTGCTAAAAAAAAAAAAGAAAAGAAAAGAAACATGCTTAACTGTTTACTTGTTTTCGGGCTTATGTGCTTATATGCTTATATTAATGTGTTCATTGCATAGTCTTGTATGCTAAGTGTTAGTATAGCGTCATTTTGTGTTTAGTTGTTCATGGTTGGACCTTAGTGTTATCGTTATTGAACTGTTTTCTTTGTTTTATAGAACGATGTCATGGCGTGAGGAACCAAGGGAAGTTGGCCCTAAGCCAACAAGGGGTGATGTTGGCGAGAGCTCTAGCTCCAATCCAACGGAGCCAATTGATGAGGACACACTTTTTCGGGATTTGATTGCCCCAAGAGTTGTTCCTACAAGGAGGGATAATGTAGAAGCACCCATTGAAGAGGATGAAAGTCCGGTGGAACTAGTATTGAATCGGTTGTTGCAGAAGGCCTTGAGGGCCACCATTACTACTCAGCCGCAGCCAATACCGCAACCGATACCACAACCGGTAGTGCAAGTAGAGGAGACGCCGGCACAGAAGCGTCTATCACAACCGGTGCCAGTGATGTTTGAAGGCGGTGCATATCCCATGGTAGCGGATGACTACATGGAGCAAGTTGAAACTCAATTGACTTCTATGGGTGTGACGGAGGATCATTTGAAAATCATCCTAGCCACTTACAAGTTCACAAATGATGCCAAGTTTTGGTGGAAGTCGGTTACAAATCAATATAAGATTGAAGAGATGAGTTGGGATAGATTCAAGGAGCTGTTCTATGAGAAGTATTTCCAGCCTCCAATAGGTGG